CCCCCCCCGCACTTCCTATCAGTATGATTAAGTCAACAATATCTGCATTTACCATTAGCTGAACAAAAAACTAGAAACCACCAAGTTTGACACCAAGTTTTTCAGAGATATGTATACACAATGACTCACTGTCGGACTGGCTGGTTGTCAGTGTGTGACAGAGAATGACTTTAATTCTGTGTAACACTTGATGTCAAACTTTGTGGGTTTCTAGGATGACTCTTTGTTCGAAAGAAGGCGAAGATGCAAACTTATAAAAATCACCCAATTTAGCTAAACACATTAGTAGTTATTTTCTACCATAAGACTAGTAAAAACACGACAATCCTCCCCAACCAAACAAGTCCTTATGCCAGATCCTCACATTTTTTGTACAGAAATTTGACAGAGAAGCAGCGTAAGTTAATCGAGGAGTTTGCGAAAGAAGAAGAACGAGAAGATGATAAGCGTGCTGCTGCAAGAGCATCCGGGTGAATTGAAATGTGGCCGGAGTAGGAAGAAGATGAGAAATAATTTACCGTGGTCAAATTATTTTTGGGAGACCAGTTTTGGACAAACTTTTTCACATATATTGTAATTGTTTTATTGTAGTCAAAGTAGCCTAATCATAAATTCATAATCATAGAGAGGATTTAAGGGTTTTTGGTGGCATTCATTATCATACATTCCTCTGTTGTATATATGGATATATTATTTGTTTTCATGAAAAGAAACAGTAATAAAGATTCTGTGAGGCATACAATAAAGTTATAAAGATTGTGGACCTTTATATTAAGGTTGTGTTGGGTACTCTTGTCCATATTTAAATTGCATGTTTGGGCTTACGATGTTTTCATTGAAATTGTTTTCAAATCATTTTATATGAGAAATAGTGTAGAATTTAAAAATAAAAGTTACATATTCAAAAATTACATTAAAAGGTCTATAAAAATTAGTAGTATCAAATAACTAACAAAAATAGAGAAAGAAAGTTTAAAGATTTTACCTTATAAATAGGAAATAGATAATATAGTTTGAGGGAACACTAGGTTTTAAGTTAGCTTAAGTGTTCCACTCATTACTATTCACTTTTCAACATTTTTTTGAACTAACGCTAGATATTTCAAGTGTTCAATAGACATGGAGACAAGTACAGATAATTGTGATTGTTATTTGTATAAAGAAGTTGATTGTTTGAAATTTATTTTGGAATACTCAACGTGTCAAATAAAATACTCTAAGAAATGAAATTTATTTTGGAATACTCAACGTGTCATTGTTTGTATAAAGAAATTGATTGTTTGAAATTAACTCTGTCAAATGAAATTTAAAGTTATTTTATTTATAATTTTTATAGAAATAAATTTAAATTGTAAATTACATATTTCAAAATTGGATAAAAAGTTTAATAAAATAAGATGTGATAAAATTAATTTATCCTATAAAATAATTAATAGAAGCACACAAATCAATAAAAATTATCGAGATACTAAGAATAGTACGGCTAATTGAGACTATAATTCCAGAGGTGACATACTTTTTTCCCTCTATAGACTTGTAATTTGGAAAATCAAGCAATTTTTCCTCATGCACAACTGGAGGGTGGCGACGGGGTTGGTCTCTTCCCACGACTTGCATGGGTGCCACTCGACGTCGAGGCCGACGAGGAGGAGGTTGGAGAGTCCAACGCCGTAGCGGTAGTAGAAGACGGTGGCTTTAATCCAGCAGTCAACTTCGGAGGCACATTTAGTGACGGTGATGTTAGAACTCAAATTGTGGAAAGTGATGTTATGCAAAGTGGCGGCCATTGTAGGGTACTTATAAATGATAGGGAAGAAAACCATTGGAAGTTATAATTCGTGCTAACTTAAACAAAATTAGTTAACTAACCCATCCAAACAATTAATTATTCAAGTTCAATCTTGTAAATACTTATGTTTCTAACGATTTGAAACTTCAGTGTCATTAAATAAAATATACTACCTCCGTTCATGAATATTTGTCCAGTTTTGACTTTTTTTAGTCAACTATTTTCAACCTTTGACCTATAATTAAATAAAATATATATTGTATATTGATTAAATAAAATAATATTTTGAAAATATTTGATATAACAAATCTAATAAAACTATTTTTGTATCAATATAAAATATCATTTTCATTTAATTTGAGATCAAAGTTTACCCATTTTAACCAAAAAAATTTAAAAGTGAACAAATACTCAGGGACGGAGGGAGTAATAGATATGTTTTTAGTCCCCATTAAATTAAAAATTTTATTTAAAGAACTTTTTAGAATGAAAAAAAGTGAAAGCCAAAAATCGTTTAGGAACCAAGGAAATATCAAAAGTGAAACCATTATGCAATAATTAAGAATTTTATTCATAAGATGGAGACTGTTTTTTAAATTGACAAAACAAAAAGTAGTAAAGATTTTTACGACTCGGTTAGGGTTCGTTACGTTTCACTTATTTTTCAGCTTATTAATTACTTAGCTTATTCATATTTAAATCAAATTAGATTCAATCAAATCAAAAATAGTTTTAAATATAACTACAATCAGTTCAGATCAGACGAATGGAATACATCCTTAGTATGGTACATAGTATCAATTTAAGAAACTTTATGACTTGTAATAATTTAGTTATTCAATAAAAATTTTAAAGATATTTCACTGACTTTATTATAGTAATTAAGTATATTTTAAATAAAAATGGTAAATCAATCGAGTAGGGAGTATTTAAAAAAGAATATATTTATTCCATAATAAAAAATGACACAAACACGTTGATCGCTCCATATTCAATCTGTTCGAAACTCAGGTATTCTGCGTCCCAATCGCTCAAAGTGACGGTGAGTGGCTTCTCCTTGCATCGCCATCTTCTTCAACCTTATCTTCATAAATGTCTTGGAGCGATAAACTAGAAAAGTTTGAAAATCTTAGAAAACATTGAAAAAAAAGTTGACATAGATTTCATATTTATAAAATTTCAATTTTCTCTTAACAAAATAAATTACACATACTTCACTTGTTTTAACTGTTTTGTCTTTTGTTTTTCTCTGTGTATCAGGTATTTAATAATTTTGTGTAATTCACGTCCATTCATATTTTTTAACATTAAAGTAATATAAATTAAATATTTTTAAATCTTAACTTCTATGTTACTAACCCTATCAAATCTACTCGTTATTTTAATTTGAGGAGCTCTATAAGTATAGATTTTATTTTGAAGTGTAAGTTTCACATTAAATACAAATGTAAGGTTTTTTTTAATTATAAAATGGTTAATTCAGTTAATTTTCAAATATAAAATAAAAATGGCGTGCGAAACAACTTTTTTGGAGTGCATCTACTATTTACCATATGAAAGGAATTCCACGTTACTCCCAAAAAATCAACTTAAAAGGTTATTTTTGTCAATTCGAGAAGTTATGGGAGGATGTGGAGTGCCATTAACAAGGGACAGAGTACATTTATCATTTCTCTTAATAAATATGAACTAATTAAAAATCATGTGTACCAGCTAAATATACATTAATTTATAAGAAAATATTTTATACAGCACAAAGTTATCAAGTTAAAAACAGAAAGATAACTTTAAAATGGGCAAAAACAAAGTGTTAATTTTCACTTTCAAATATGAGGAAATAATAAGGATACACAAAAAATAGATTACCCCATTTATACACCAAGCAAACACAGACCAATACAGACACTGTCTGTATTTATCTGTGTTTGCCTGGTGTACAAATAGGATACCCCATTTTAGTGTACCCCTAGGTTTATTCTAAACTTTATTATTGTATAACTCGCTAATGCCGCATCCACTTGTTCTCTCATAGATTGGAAGTATTATTAGTAACAAAATAAAAATTGTTTTAGGATTGGGAGAGTTATACAACTAAAGGTACTGTAACTTGTAAACGGGCATATGCCATTCGTACAATAAATACCATACATCCAGGCATACAATACAAGAACTCAACAATACAACTAAACCAACAAGATTTTGTTAATTTTCCAAACTTTATTTTTAATGTAACAAATAATGCAACGAATTTATTATTTTTAAGAGTAAAAATAAAAAAGAAAAAAATCAACCTCCAAGTAGAGAGAGGAAGCCAAAATTTGTTAACTCGCATCAATATGCAGAGAAACTGAAAGAGAAATAAAATAATTTAAGCTACCTTGGACTTAGACTTCTGCTTCTTTGGATCCATCGATGCCAAACCAGTGCCTAATCCAATCGGGACCGGGTCGGGTTTCGGTTGGTCGCCTTTAACCTCCACGGGTGTGTTTGAAGACTGCCCGTTCTTTGTTCCTGCATTGGACCCTTCGGTTTTTAGAGCAGATGATGTGTTGTTCCCGGAGCTTATCGCGTTGAGTAATTCAGAAAGTGGGCCCTGCCCAGACCGGGCGGCATTAGGGCGTAGGTGAAGACCCCTCGCAGCGGCTTTCTTCCTCGCTTCCACAGCTGCTCGGGCAGCTCGTTCGTCAACTCCCCTACCCCCTTTAGGGGGTACAGGTGCAGCAGCATTCAGAGATTGCTTCCCGCCGGCAGCTTGAAATGCTTGTACTAGACTTGGATTCGCCTGCTTTTGGGGGGGGGGGGGGGG